GAGAGGAAGTCAGAGATGGTTTCCATTCAAGAGCCGGTGCTGCATAAAACTCTGAAACGCTACGAGAAGGACCAGCTCCTGGGTCCATTTGTTGGTCTCAATCCAGAGTACATGGAAATGAGTAAATCACAGTTTCATCACTTTTGTTAATCGTGTTGTTTGCAAATAAATAAATCACCTGGTTTGCACTCAACGCATTTAAAGAGCAGTGGTGGACAAAGACGAGCGAAGCAAATAAAACGTTTGTTTCTGATTAAGATCAAAATACAGTCACAAGAAACTCAGTGATGATTTTAAGCCAGAATCTTGGCACAAACAACATGTAGTGAATTAAACATGGCGTGCTTAAACAGAAATAGGTTTTCACAGCCGTCCACCGGAGTCAAAATTGTCTTTCTTTTCATTTTGAAAGAAATTCTGAAGGAAATGTTTTTATCATGCTCATTTATAGATGTTAAAATAGTTTCCTGTATTAATTTTCTTTCACCCAGTCGAGGATGAATCATGGCTACATGCTGTTCTCTTTGTCTGTTTCCCTTCTCCTTCAGTAATCCAGTTTGGGATGGTGACTCTGTTCGTGGCCTCCTTCCCTCTGGCGCCTCTCTTTGCTCTTCTGAATAACATCATTGAAATTCGTCTGGATGCTAAGAAGTTTGTTACGGAGCTCCGCAGGCCTATTGCAGCTAAAGCCAAAGACATCGGTTTGTTTCTTTTATCCCTTTGTGAGATTAAACCCTCACATAGTATTTATAACATCTGCTGTTAAGAAATGTGTTTGACTAATGTTACAAAAATATAAACGCAGCACAAAAAATGCACACAGACTTAAAACAGCACAAAAGCAGCACATTGCATCTGCTAATAGTGCTCGTTTGTGTATTTTACTAAGTTAGCTCTCTGTTATTCAGACTTAAAATATGCCCTAAGACGTCTTCAACAGCATTTCTTTCGTTTGGGTGAAAAAGGTGAATTTGCCGTGCTCTGTGTCCCAACACAATGAAACTAAATACATTTATCCTTACCCTGATGCCCATCTGTCTTTGGAGGTGGCCCATCCCATGAACTTCCTGTTAAAGGGGGTTTTCCTTCCCATTGTTGCCAAGTGTGCACTCAAAGGGGATCATCTCATTGTTGAGGCTTCCTCTCTGTTATTGTGAGGTCTGTAGCTTACAATATGCCTCAAGCTGACTGTCCTCGTGGTTTGAGGCTATATGAATAAAATACATTTCAATTGATTTCAAATTAAATGTATGACTCTCACAGTAGGCAAACACATAAAACTAAGGACTGCTATATGTGCCATCCTAGTAGCTGCTGTAAGGAAAAAGACAGTTGAAGGTGGACATGTGAATTTGCTCTGCTTACGGCTGAACTACACTCCAGCAAACCTGTTATGAAGCTAACATTGTGTAGAGTTATATGCTGCAAGACTGAACTCTCTGAAAGCTGGTGTTCTTCACGTAGAGAAGTTAAGTGACACGACTAAGTAGCTTAATCTCAGTCTGCAGTGGTGTTTACAACATGCAGAGAACCAGTGAGTTGTAGTTGTACTAAATCACACTGTGCAAACTCGTGTGCATTTCGGAGCTGCTGTTTTCTCAGGAATAACGGCTCTTCTGTCTTTCTGCAGGTATCTGGTACAACCTCTTGAGGGGCCTCAGCAAGGTAGCAGTCATTGTCAACGTAAGTCTCATCAGCAAT